TTTTTTTTTTTTTTTTTTTTTTTTTTTTAATTTGTGTGTGTTTTAAAAATATATTATTTAAAATTTGTTTCTATTTGTTTGAATTATTATATATATATATAAATGTATATATTTTGAATATGTTTACTTCTAATAGTTTAATTGAACGATGTGACATTTTTTTGTTACAAGTTTTCTTTTTTTTTTTTTTTTTTTTTCCATTTTAAATGTAAATAAAAATTATTTTAATTGAATTTGATATATATATCTATATATATATGAAAATTATAGATAAAATAAAAATTTTATATAGAAAGTTTATAAAAGAGAAGATAAAGAGTTCAGAAGAAGAGATAAATTTTGATAAATTAGTAAATGATAATGTGGAACAGCTAAAAATTGAAGATAAAGAAGAGAAAGAAAAAATAAAAAGAAAATGGAGAGATATTTTGATAAAAAATTCAGAAAAATATGGAAAATTTTCTAAAGGGAATAAAGTAAAAATTTATAATGATGGGTTGTCAGCATATAGTGATATATTGAAATCAATTAATAAAAGTAAAAAAAGAGTATGGTTAGAAGCATATATATTTGATGATTCTAAATTAGCAGAAGTAATTGTTAATAATTTATGTGAAGCATCAAAACGGGGATGTGATGTAATTTTATTAATAGATTATATTGGAAGTTTAAAAATGAAAAGTAAATGGGTAAATCAGCTTAAAGAAAATAATGTGAATGTTATCTTTTTTAACACCTTTTTAAATTCATTTTTAAATATGTTACCAATATTTTTTCGAGATCACAGAAAAATAATCATAGTAGATAACTGTGCTTACTGTGGTTCAATGAATGTATCAGAAAATGTAATTCCAAATGAAAATTTTGATGAAAAAGATAACAAAAAAAAAAGTAAATGTTTAGAATATTATGATTTGCATATAAAAATTAAAGGACCTTCTGTAAAAGATTTGGCAGATGTATTTATAGATTCATTAAAAATGACAAAAAGCTCTATTATTAGACATCCAATAGAAAAACAGAAAATGTATTTAGATGACAATTCATGTTTTATACAAATATTAGAATCTAATGTTCTTAGAAAAGTTAAATCTATTCAATCAACCTTTGATTATATTATAAAAAATGCAGCAAATAATATTTATATTACAACTAGCTATTTTTTGCCTCCTGGATTTTTAAGGAGAGCTTTATTTTCTGCTTTATCAAATGGTGTTAATATTTCTTTTCTTTTTTCAGGAAATTCAGATATATTTGGTGATGTACCAGCTACTTATTATATAATGAAAAAATTTTTAAAAAAATATCATAAAAATAATTCAACTCATGAATATAATAAAATTTTTATAAATTATTTAAATTTACGTAAAAATTTATATTATAAAAATTTTTTAAGAAATTTAAAAAATATAAATCAAAAGAAAAAAAGAAAAAATAAAGGTGTTAATAAATTTTATTTTTTTCAAAAAAAACACTGTCATGCTAAAAATTTAGTTGTAGACAATTTATGGTGTGCTATTGGTTCATTTAATTGGGATAGATTTTCATCAAGAAGAAATTTAGAGGTTATGGTATCAATTTTTGATAAAAAAGTATGTGATAAATTTATAAAAGAACATCAAAACAAAATAAAAGATGATTCTATTGAAATTACTTTACCTCATATAACCAACAGAAATGTTTTTCAAATTTTTATGAGTTATTGTGCTTATCATCTTGGAAAATTGTCAGGAAGAAATTTATTTGATGGATTATCTAATAATAGCAAAAAAACGATTCTAAGAAAAGCCATAATAAATAAATATTTAAATGATAATTGCATTCAAAATATTTCCTTAAATATGATGTGGGGAGTTTAGAAAAAATGAGAAAAAAAAATATCAAAGAAGATAAAAGTCGTAACAATTTTTTTTTAGAAATAAATGATTATTATTATATACTAATATATTCCTATAATATTTACTTAATAATAATAAGAATTAAATAACATCTTAAATTATTGTTTTTAAATCAAGAAAAAGTGATATTATATCTATAAAAATTTTAGTAGATATAGAAAAAACAAAAACAAAAAGAATAAGAATAAGAAAAAAAAAAAAAAACAAAAAAAAAAAAAAAAAAAAAAAAAAAAAAAAAAAAAAAAAAAAAAAAAAAAAATAAAAAAAAATAAAAAAAAAAAAAAAAAAAAAAAAAAAAAAAAAAAAAAAAAAAAAAAAAAAAAAAAAAAAAAATAAAAAAAAAAAAAAAAAAAAAAAAAAAAAAAAAAAAAAAAAAAAAAAAAAAAAAAAAAAAAAAAAAAAAATAAAAAAAAAAAAAAAAAAAAAAAAAAAAAAAAAAAAAAGAGATAATACTTTATAATAAAAGAAAAAAGAAAAAAAAAAAAAAAAAAAAAAAAAAAAAAAAAAAAAAAAAAAAAAAAAAAGAAAAAAAAAAAAAGGTAAAAAAAAAAAAAAAAAAAAAAAAAAAAAAAAAAAAAAAAAAAAAAAAAAAATACAAAAAAATGATACATAAAAACAAATGGCAACAATTAAACATTAAAAATTAATTAAAAAAAAAAAAGATTGTTATAAACTTTAATAGTCTTCTTTCATTTTTTATATAATTTTTATTAAAATTTATGAAATCATTTTTTTTCTTTAACACTTTTAGCTAATGTCATTAAATCTGTTCGAAGTCTAATATTTTCAATTAACGTTTCTTCCATTATTTTCTTCATTTCTTCATATTTTAATTTGTTATTAAAAATACTGAAACTTTTATCTAATCTACAAATGAAAAAAAAAAAAAAAAAAAAAAAAAAAAAAAAAAAATGTATTTCAAAATATATTTATATTTTAAAAAAAATAAAAAGATGGAAACAATTCTGCTATTTCAAATTATATATATTATATATGTTAAAAAAAAAAAAAAAATTTTCAATTAAAAATACCTAAAATGTTCTTCATTTAATGCATGCTTTTTTATGAGATGAGAAATTATTTTACTTTTATTATTCACATCTTCTTGTAGTAATAATTGATCCTCTCTAAGTCTTCCTATTTCTTCTGTTAATACATTAATTTCGCTTAAAAGTTCTTTTATTTTTATGTTTTCATATGATTCATTAATTTCATTATTTAAGAGGTTATCAACTTTTTTAGTATCTTGAAATTTATCTAATAAACATTGATATTTTTTTTGCATCATTTCATTTTCTTGTATTTCTTGTAATAATAATTTTTTCATTTCCTTCAGTTTAATATCGGTACTATTTTTTCTTTTTATAGAAAAAGATTCATATTCATCTAAAAGAAGTTTATAATAATTTATTTTATTTTCCAATTTCTCATTATTATCGTAATTTATAAGATTCTCTTTTTTAAATGTTATATTATTTTCTTCATCATTTGTTAAAATTTCACTTTTTTTATTTTTTTTATCTAATAATGGTGAGTCATTATTCGTAATTATAAATTTATCATAATTAATTAAATTACTTTCACTGTTTAACTTTTTATGATTTTCTATTAAATTTATGTCATCCTTTAATAAAATTTCACCTTTACTATCACTAAGTAATTTCTTATTATTATCACTATTAGAGATATTTTTATTAGTATATTTTGAAAATGTTTTGTCATTATTTAATGTAGCCTTTTCATCTTTCTTGTTTAATAGTCGTATGTATTTTAGTTTAACCTTTTTATGTTTAAAAAGCTTTCTTATTTTTTTTTTCTCTTTGTTATTTTTTAAATTGAGTTTGTTATTATAATTTCTCAGTAGCATTTTAAGCTCTTCTTTTATTTTTTTCTCACCTTTTTTAATATCATAAAAGATTTTTTTATAAATAATTACATCTTCTTTTGTTAGTTGTAAATATTCATAATACTTTTTTAATTTATCTGTAAGAAGTTTTTTTTCACTTTTTAATGATATACATAATAAAGATTTTTTATTAATTACAGACTCTAAACTTTTTATATAACATTTTAACTCATAGTTTTTTTTCATATATATCATCTTATCTTCTAAAAAATTATGTAATTTTTGTTTTTCATCTTTTAATTTTTTTATTTCTAATTCTAGGTTCTCTAATTTTTCATTTAAGTAATTGTTATCATAATTTTCTGAATCATTTCTGAAATGAGAAATTTGACCTGATAATTGTAGTAATTGATTGGTTTGTCTTTCATTTGCATCTCTTAACATTTTTTCTTTTTTTTTTAAATCATTTATTTCTTCTAAATATTTTTCTTTAAGATCATTAATATATTTTACATTTTTTAAATCATTATTACAATATATTATGTTATTAAATAAATCATTTATATCACCAATAAATAATTTAAGTAATTTCTGAATATATATTTTAAGAGAATTAACATTACTATAATTGCTATTATCGTACTGTTTTTTTAATGTTATTATATTTTCTAATATGTTGTTATATTCTTCATTAATTAAATTATAACTTATATTTTTAATTACATTTTCTTCAAATTCATTTACATAATTTTTTTTTAAAAAAAAATCAGTTTCTACTGATATCTCTTTTTTCTTTCTTTCCTCTTTTTCATTGTCATTTTTTGAATCATCATTATATAATTTATATAATTTTTGATTATTATCATTTAAAATATTATTTTTTTCAGTGTTCTTTTTTTCTTTTGTTATTATTATTTTATTTGTTAAATTACCAAAATCATTGTTTGTATGATCAATTAAATTTTTATTTTTTTCATTTAGAATTAAGCTAACTTGATTATTCTTATTATTTTCATTTTCATTTTCATTATTATCGACATAAGTACTATCAATAGAATACTCATATTCTTTACTAAGGTTGTTTTTTTTTTTATTATAATTAAATTCATTGTTTATATTTTTATTTATTTCTTCTATTTTTTCCTTTTCATTATTTTCATTTTCCTGATTTATATTTTCTTTTTTTTTCTCTTTTTTATATTTCTGTTGTGAACAAAAAGGAATTAAATGATCCTTATTTTTTTCTTTTAATTCTTCATTAGAAAAAATGACTTCATCATTTTTTTTTTCTTTTTCGTTTTTCAGAATATTATTCATCATTTCACATTTATCATTTTTATAAATAATATTATTATTATTATTATTATTATTATTATTTGATATATTGTCTTCTTCTTTTTTATCTTTAAGGTTGATGGATTTATAATTTCCTTTTATATTTATATTATGTTCATTTATTAATGAAATACTTGTCTCATTATTTTTAATTAAAACATTTTCATTATTTTTGGTATAATTTAATGAATATAATTCAGAATTGTAATTTTTTTTAAAGTCATATTTATTATCATATTTTTCATTTTTTATTTTATTATTTTCATAAATATCTTCACATTTTTCATTATCATATATATTATCATATTTTTCATTTTTTATTTTATTATTTTCATAAATATTTTCACATTTTTCATTATCATTTATATTATCATATTTTTCATTTTTTATTTTATTATTTTCATAAATATCTTCACACTTTTCATTATCATATATATTATCATATTTTTCATTTTTTATTTTATTATTTTCATCTTTTTTTAATTCATTTTTCTCAAATATTATATCTCTATCAGACACTAAATCGTAATTCATATTTTGTTTTTCTTCTAGAAAAAATGAATCATTTTTTTTGTTTTGATTTATTAATTCATTATTTAGTTGGTTAAAAAATTTAATTTTTGCTAAATCTATATTGTATAAAAATTTAAACATAGTAATATGCATAAAACACGCATAAGTAAATATTTAAAGAAAATAAAAATATATATATATATATATATATATAGAATAAAAGTGTAAGAAATTTACGATATTTTATCAGTAATAATTGTAATGAATATTACTAAAGAAAAATTAGAGAACTTTAATATTTAAAATTTAAAATATTATAAGAAATAAATGTAATTATTGCTAAAATGAAAGAACAATTTTTTTTTTTTTTTTTTTTTTTTTTTTTA